CCAGTGCTGATCGTACGGGTGCTGGATGTGTATTTTCCCAGCCTCACTAGCTGCTGCCTGTCTGTCAGGAAGCTGTTGATCCACTGACAGACGGAGGTGGGCACGGAGAGCTGAGATAGTTTGGGCAGGAGGAGGTTTGGGATGATAGTGTTAAAGGCCGAGCTGAAGTCCACGAACAGGATCCTCACATAAGTCTCTGGTCTGTCTAGATGTTGCAGAACATAGTGCAGTCCCATGTTGACTGCATCCCCTCTCCCCCACACCTGAAAGACAAAGTTTTTTTTTTTAGTTTAGGATGAAGTCAAGTAGCGTTGAAAGAGATGAGTTTTCAGCTGTCGCTTGAAAATTGTCAGGGATTCAGCATTCCGGATGGGGGGGGGGAGATCATTCCACCAGCCAGGAATGTTCTGGAAAGTGATTTAGTGCCTCTCTGTGATGACGAGGCATCGCTCACTCGTAGATCCCAGACTTTTGGAGGGGATGTAGATTCGTAGTAGTGATTGGAAGTAGGCGGGTACTGAGCCTGTGGCTGTTCTATATGCAAGCATCAATGTCTTGAACTTGATGCGAGCCACAACCGGTAGCCAGTGCAAGGAGATAAAGAGAGGTGTAACATGGGCTCTTTTGGGCTCGTTGAAGACCAGTCGTGCCGCTGCATTCTGAATAATTTGTAGAGGTTTGATTGTGCTTGATGGAAGTCCAGCCAGAAGAGCATTGCAGTAGTCCAGCCTAGAAATGACAAGGGCCTGGACAAGAAGTAGTGCAAAAAACAACACTACTCCATAATAGCAATCACAATGACAACACAATAACAACAATGACAACAACTGTAAGATTATAACTTAAAAGCTTCACTAAAAATATATGTTTTGAGTAATTTCTTTAAACAATCAAAAGACGGGACATTCCTTATAGGAAGAAGCAGAGAATTCCACAACCTGGGAGCAATGACCTCCCATCCATAGTTTTGAGTTTACAACGAGGCTGGTACAGAGTAAGAGAACCAGCAGATCGGAGAGACGAGATGGTGTAGACACTGTGACCAAATTACAAATATACTCTGGGGCCAGCCCATGTACTGCTTTATAGGTTAAGATAAGAACTTTAAAATCAATACGTGATTGAACTGGAAGCCAGTGTAGTTGAGAAAGCACAGGAGTAATATGACTGCGGGATGGTGTGTAAGTTAAAACACGAGCAGCTTAGTGTTGCACATATTGCAGCCTCCTAATCAAATTTGCAGATAACCCTGCAAAAAGTGAATTACAATAATCAAGCCTAGATGTTATAAAGGTGTGAATAAGCCTTTCTGCATCTGGCATAGAGAGAAACAGCCTTATACGGTCCATATTCCGAAGATGATAAAAGGCTACTTTAGTAACATTCTTAAAATGAGTGTTAAAAGTCAGCTGTGCATCAAAAATCACACCCAAATTCCGCACCTGTACAGAAGGGAGAATCTGGCACTCATCCACTGTAAGTTTTTAATTATTACATCTATTTACAGCAGTTGAAGTGCCAATCAATATAACTTCAGTTTTTTTAACGGTTTAACTGCAGGAAGTTCTGTTTCATCCAGGCCTGTATTTCCAGTAAACAAGCAGATAAAGTTGAAAGTGCTGATGTGACATCATGTTGAGTACTAATGTAAATCTGGGTATCATCTGCATAGCAATGATAACCCACACCATACTTTTAAATAATCTGCCCAAGAGGCAACAGGTAAATTCTAAAAAGAGTAGGACCCAATACTGACCCCTGAGGGACACCCTGCCGCAATGGAGCAGTCTGAGATCTGTTTGCAATATTACATACATATTCGGTTATAGTTATAGCGCCACCAACTGGCAACAGGAAGTGACATGTTTAACACTGATGCACAGCCCGTTTTCGCTCTTATCTCAGTGTTATTTACATTTTATAATAGTTCATTGTTCGTTTCTGAAAAAGGGACGATCCCTAAATTGAGCGTGAATAAGAAGCTAAGAAATGCGGAAGCGTCGCGTTTTTAAGGTGGAACGGATAGCGTCAATAAGAAGCTGCGAATAAGAAGCTGAATTCAGCCTCGTGTGATGCACTATTAGCAATACAGCAAAATATGCCATTGTGTGCTAAACATGCTATAAATATGATCAAACGTGTTGTATTACAAATTTATGAAATGTTAAATCTAGGTTCCAATGTAATAGAATATATACTGAAAAAGTTATGTACCTTGTGTTTTACATTTTGAGGTAAAAAAGCATGAACTTCCCAAGGACACCAAATCAGCAAGCCCAGGTGTCTGAGATAATGACCTTTTATCTTTATGCTCTTCCTGACCATCTGGCTTTTTAAGCTCAAAGCACAGCTGTACCGTTGTCTCTGTGATAATGCAAAAGTATGGCGATACTGTCAGACTGAGTGGATCAGCACCTATGCATTGAATGACACTGTTATACTGATGAGATCAAGGCTGGGAAAATGCCTGTGTCGGGCTGATTCCTGTACTTCATTTGCATGCTATGGGTTAGATTGTCTCCACCTCTAATGAATGTATCCCGCCCCCTTAAAATTGATATAAACTACAATGTATCACTATGTTAGTCGGACTTGGATGACTGCAGCGATGCACAGCGAGTCCTCAATAAAGAGTGACTTCTGTATGAAAGATATCCCAACGTCTCCTGGTTTCTGCTTCGACGAGGAAAAAGTTTCCTACACATGCTAGCAACACTTACTAAGTGCTAAAGCATGCTATTAATACTATGAAACAGGAAGTTGTTGTAACTCATACATATAATGTCCGGTCTTCTCCAAACTTCACATATTTGATAAGAGTCCTGGCCTTAAACATTTACATGCCAATGTTTTTTTGAGTTACTGACAAATGAACTGTTTTTGCATTTATTTCAGAGTTGATTGAAGAAAATGAGCAGAATGAAGAATTGAGTGAAGTTGAAGAGAAAAATCACTTCAAAACTGGAGAAAAACCTTTGAGTTTCTGTCAAAGAAAACGGGTAATATTAAAGAAAACAAGAGCCAAGAAATCTTTCACCTGCACTCAGTGTGGAAAGAGTTTGACATCCAAACATAGTCTTGAGCTTCACATGAGAGTTCATACTGGAGAGAAACCGTTCACTTGTGATCAGTGCGGGAAGAGTTTCACACAATCATCAAGCCTTAAGCATCACATGAACATCCACACTGGAGAGAAACTGTACATATGTGATCAGTGCGGGAAAACATTTTTGTGCGCTTCATACCTGACAACACACCTAAAATTTCATATAAAGGAGAAGCCACATTCATGTCATTTGTGTGGAAAGAGTTTTTCATTACTACAACGTTTGAAAATACATCAGAAAACACATACTGGTGTGAGAGAGTACATGTGCTTTGAGTGTGAGAAGACTTTTACTTCAGCGGGCAGTTTAAAACAACATGAGAGGATTCACACGGGAGAGAAACCTTACAAGTGTTCACACTGTGAGAAGAGATTCATTCAGTCAGGAACACTGAAAGCACATGAGATGATTCACACTGGAGAGAAACCTTATAAGTGTTCACACTGTGAGAAGAGATTCATTCATTCAGGAATCCTGAAAACACATGAGAGGATCCACACTGGAGAGAAACCATATCACTGCACTGCATGTGGGAAGCGTTTCAATCATTCATCTAATCTACACAGACATACAAAAAAATATCACAGTAAGTAGATCATCTTCAGATCTTTCAGGTCATCACCAAATGTGACACAATAATGCATCAAGCAGTGAAATATCATATGGATAAATCTGTCATTACAAGTGACATGACAAAGAGACATTATCTGAAGTTTTCAGTGAATAAAGTTCATCTTCATCTTCATAACCAGCAGATTCAACTGTGAGATTCAGATCAACTCAAAGATAGAGTTCCTCCCCAAAGATCAATGTCAAAACGTTTTACTCTAGTATGTTATTTTGCTTCATGATATAAATGATATCATTGTGCTTTCTTATGAGTTTGATATTATGTTCAATTGTCTTATAATGCATATGTCACTTGTAGTGTGCTTACTCTTTTATTAAGGAAAGTAGAAGTTTTTACAAACCGTTCTTGTTCAGGAAGCTGAAGAAGAGACTGTAACACTGTAGGATCTATGTCTCACAATGGACCCACCTACATGATGGAGACACACATCAAACCCTCACATTCCATTGAGACAAATCGAAGAACTCCTATCCAACAGATGCAGTCGTAAAACTCATGCAGGGTCAGTGAATGTGAAACATTTCCTGGACTGTTTGGCTATCTCTCAAGATACGCTAAA